GGGTAGGTGCTTGGAGTGGCTCAGTGGGTAGGTGCTTGGAGTGGCTCAGTGGGAAGGTGCTTGGAGTGGCTCGGTGGGTAGGTTCTCGGTGTGTGGGAGAATGTTGGTCATAGACTTTGCTGCTACTCGATGAGGGGTGGGGGGCGATGAGAAAGGGAGGCGCAGCTACTGACAAAATGCCTTGTCTTTGCGTTAGCCGGACCCCCACCGGCGGCCCCACCTCATCTCTGACTACCGGTGTTGGGGCGGGGTGCAACATGGTTTACCTCGTTTGCGAGACCCTATGCTTGCAGGGGTCCCCTCTATACAGTCTTAGGAGTAGGTAGTGAAAGGCAAAAAAGAATTTGAGAGTAGAATGTAGTGTAGTTAAAAAAAAAAAAAAAAAAAAAAGATAACCCTTTTTTTCCGGCTAGCTCAGTAGGTGTCATGCATGAGCGGCACCGCGTAGGTGTTGGGTTCTATTCCCGTTGCCGTCACTTTCAGTGGCCTGAGAAGGATTGGTGGCCACAGCCAGTCAACACTGGTAACTCGCCGGGGCGAGTTGTGCCGCCCTGTAACCCGTTGCAATGCGGGAGCATCAGGCCAAGTGGAAGTGGCTGCTCAGGTCCTGCTACGGCCGGTCGGGACACACCCAATACACATCCAATGAAAAAAGTTCTCAGGTTGAGTTCTCAGTCAGGATCATCATAGTTGACGTTCATAATTACGATGCTTATCAGGGTTGAGACCCTCAGATTCATGATATTTCTGGAGGCTTAAACCACCAGTACGTGGCTCAGTGCCCGTTAACGCGTCGGGCTGCCCGATGGGTCGTACAGAGAACGCCCGGTAGCCTGTTTACGACGTGGAAAGTCAAAACGAAAAAAAAAAAAAAAAACATAGTCTTCGGAGGCGCTGCAATTCTTTTTTTTTTTTTGAGAGAGAGAGAGAAATCTGTTCATTTTTTGTTACCAGGAAGACAAAAGAGGGCCGGGAATCCCTCACAAACAACCCGGTGAAACCAAAGAGTTCTGGGGCCATTGCCCAGTCTAAGGCTCCTGGGAACCGGCCCCAGTGTCCCCTGACGTCTGAACTCCCAAAAAAAAAAAAAAAATGTAGGATGGGGCTCATCCCCAGAACACGCTCTGCACTCTGAGACATAAGACTATCTATTTTTTTGCCTAAGCTACTTCCTTTCTAGAGGCGCTGCAATTCGGAAAATACACTTACAGTGGTCGTGCTCACGCTGACACCTAACCACAATACAGGTAAGATTCTCAATTCGTTTTTTTCTTTCTTTTTTGGGTTTTTCGTTTTCTTTTAGTCCCTGCCAGCAAGGCAAGGCGTATCCCGTGATCTGCTCAGTTGCCTTCATTGAGAACCAGCTTACACTTCAACATCAATGGATGTATCCGACCCATTTCAGGTCCAAAGTGCATGTGAATGTTTTTTTTTTCTTCAATACTAAGGAATATATGTTTTTTTTTTTCAACTAAGGGACCTCGGCTGACCCCTGGCCGGTATCGCCCACCTGCTGTAGCAAGTATCGCACCTGCTGGTGGGTGCAACTCCCGCATGTTCCCTCGTTGGAGGCTTGAGCATGGATGTGGCTGCTACGGGGTTCCCCGTAATACTATAATGACAATAAAAAAAAAGGTTTGAAAGGCCATCCTGTCCAGATTTGACAGGTAATTGAATTGGTTGGGCTTAAAGAATTAGCCTTGTTCAAAAAAAAAAAAAAAAAAAAAAAAAAAAAAAAAAGAAGAAGAAGAAGAAGAAGAAGAAGAATACAAAAGGCCGTGGCAGCGAGAAACGACAAACTTCGAAGGCGAACGAAAACCAACAAAAGAACATAGGACGAATTGGCGCGGCATTTATTTCATGATCTTCAATATTTTTTTAATTTTTTGAAATATTTTTCATAGAAAGATCACAACCCAATCTACAGACCTATCAATTTTCAGAGGTGTGGAGTCATCCTTCTGAGCGCGAAAAATCGCGGAAGTTGGGGTACTTTTCCCGTTGGCCGTCACATGATACAGCAGCAAAAGACCCCAAAAACTGAATATAGGACGAATCGGCGCGGTGTTTATCTCACGATCTTAAATATTTTTTTAATTTTTAAAAATATTTTTCGTAGAAAGACCATGACCCATTCTATAGGCCTATCAATTTTCAGAGTTGTGGAGTTATGCTTCTGAGCGCAAAAAATCGCGGAAGTTGGGGTACTTTTCCCTTTGGCCAACACGTGCAAGAATGACAAAAATGGACAGTGCAACTAAACGGCGCGGCATTTATTTCACGGTCTAAATTTTTTTATTTTATTTTTTGATATTTTTCCTAGAAAGATCACGACCTAATCTACGGGATATCAAATTTTCAGAGTTTTTCCTCAATTCTTCTGAGCGCGAAAAATCGCCAGATTTGGTGCTTGAAAATTGCGGGACTGGACCCGCCTGCCACACTGTGCAACGTTAGGGTTTGGACACACAGGCACATTCTGACCTGTCAGCTGCCTGACGTCGGATACACTTCATAAAGAAGCAGTCCCCAAAACCACACAGGGACCCAATTCACCTGTGTGGTTAGGGCAATTGCATATTTCAAATCCGTGCATGGGTTCAAACCCCAACAACAACCATTAATAGCGAACTTAAAAATATCAATGTGTGGACCCATCTCTATGTTTTATCTCCCTACGTACAGCTAGGTGGGGGTGTGTGGGTGGGTGGGCGTGGGTCACTGGACCCATCTCTATGTTTTATCTCCCTACGTACAGCTACTCTAGGAGTCTAGGTTCCCTCTCAAGATCTGCAAACTCACTGAAGACTTTCTATACCTCCTAAGGAGGCAAGTCAGTGCTGATCACTTCGAATCCTCCTCCTCGCAAGAGGTGCAAAACTATGCTCTCGAGATAGCAATCGACCAATGGCATGATTTTGAGTTAGACACTGATGGTCTACTTGCGCTTGCATTCCTACACTAGAAAGCAGCCTATTCACACACGATCTACTCCTATAACTCTGGGTTGATCCTACGCCAGGCAAGCCTTCAGCTTCCGTTGATTCTCTGTGCTGTTGGTGCGAGGAAGCCATCTGCAAAAGAAAAGCACGAAAAATCGAACTCCAAAAACTGAAATCCAACCTGCATTCAAGTTGGAAAGCAACAATCAATACGGTAACCCAGTCCGGCGGGTTGAATGGTAAGTGTTCGTAATAATTGACAAAGTTAACAGGTCACGGGTTCTGTCAGTGGTGCGGAGGGAATAGTAAATTAAATGTTAGGGGACTGTCACTTTAAAAAAAACAGAGTGAACCCTCCGTCCCTACGCCTGCTTTCTATGCCCATTTCTTTCTCACTTCTTGTTGTGACCTACAATGACTCAATGACATGTTCATTTGCTTGCCAGTGATAAGCAACTGGACTGGCGCCACCCAGAATAGAAGGGGCTCTGTGTGTGGGTTAAAAAAAAGGGAAAAAAGAAGAAAAAAAAAGGAGTGAAAGAAAACGTTAAGCACTGATAAGCAGCAAGCAATTAAACCTTACACAAATGCTTTTCTGTGGTTGTAAATTTGTGTGCCGGATATAGAGACAGGACATACGCGCCCATTCAACATGTGGTGGTGTCTTGTTGATCTTTGCGAAATCTGCTGGCCTTTTCGGATAAGGCGCCTTGGAGATACCTACCAGTCACTCAATGCTCAAGAACAGCTGGAGGCTGTTCAATTCATGATGAAGCAGTCTGGGGAAGAGTGTGCAGTTGTCCGGATCTCATTGTCCGCTCGCAATTTGCTTGGCATGGATCTCTTTTCGAAATCAGATCCAATGGTGGTTGTCGAGCTGTGTGAGGCAAATACAGATGCTCCTGGCAGTGCCTGGTCTGAGATAGGCCGCACTGAGATCGTCTCAAACAATCTTAATCCCATATGGGTAAAAAGCATTACATTAAATTATCGTTTCCATGTCGCCCAATTGATTCGCTTCTCGGTCTACGATGTAGATACGTTATCTTGGGGAAGCAGCAATGATGTATCAACACTCCAATTGGAAGACCAGGACTTCTTGGGGGCAACCGAGTGCTACCTTGCAGAGCTCGTGCGAGCAAACGGCCAAGCCGTCACTAGGGAGCTAAGGGCATCTCCCCAGAAATCGTACGCCGGCACAAACAGAGGTCCTCAAGGGCGCATGGGAACATTGACCATCCTTGTGGAGGAGGTGCCGCTCGAACGGCGTGAAACGGTGATATTGCAATTCCATGCACGAGACCTCGACAAGATGAATTCTTTCCTGTTCGGCAAGGGTACTCCATATTTGAAGGTATCGAAGCTTTTTGAGGATGGGAGTGCAGCACCAGTTTTCCAAACTCCTCTAGCCGTTGTCGGGCAGGGTGGGAATCTGGTTTGGGATTGGGATCCCACCGTTCTTTCGCTCCAGGATTTGTGCAATGGTGATCGCGAGCGTCCTCTACGGATCGAATGTTTCGGTTACCATATCTTCAGTCATGACACTTTGATTGGGAGTATCGTAAGGTCCGTGAAAGAGCTCGCAGAGGATGCGCAGTTGAGCAGGGCAATTCCGTTAAGGAGTCCCTCACCACAGCGAAAGAGGCCTGATGATTCAGAAGTGGGTGGGAAGCTCTCCTGCAAACAATGCCGACTTACGCAGTCGATATCATTTTTACAGTATCTTTCCATGGGATGTGAGATCAGCTTCCAGGTGGCGATCGATTTTACTGCATCTAATCGGCACCCAAGTAAAATGAACTCCCTTCATTACATCCATCCGCAAGGGTGGGAGAACCCTTATCAACGGGCGATCCGCACAGTCGGAAGAGTCATTGAGTTCTATGACACGGACAGGCTTTTCCCCGCATGGGGGTTTGGAGCGAATCTCGGAGCAGGAGTGGTTTCACATTGCTTCAACCTAAATCCGTTAAATTCTGAAGTCGCGGGTGTTGACGGAATCCTTGAGGCATACTCAAGAATGGTTCATTCTGTGTCCCTTGCAGGGCCTACCCTGTTTGCCCCTGTAATTGCCAAGTCTTCAGAAATTGCTGAAGCACACTTGAAAGCGGGGCAGCTGAAATATTCTGTCCTCCTGATAATCACGGATGGCATAATAAATGACATGGAGTCCACAATCCATGCAATCATCCAAGCATCCAGGCTTCCTCTTTCGATCTTGATCATTGGAGTGGGCCCTGCGGACTTCTCGGCGATGGAGGCCCTAGACAGCGACAAAAAGCTCCTCACATGCTGTGGCCAACAAGCTGAGCGAGATATCGTACAGTTTGTGGAGATGCAGAACATAACCAGTGATAATCAGTTGGCCCGTGAACTGCTTGCTGAGCTGCCGGGTCAGGTTGTCCGGTTCATGTCCTCGGGGCTTGTTCGAATCCCCGTTCCCGGATCCAGCTTGTACAGGACATGATCAAGTCGGTCCATGTTCTGATCCAGCCTGAGCTGGTCCATGTCATGTGCTCCACATGGGCCAGTTCTGACCTGCAGGTGGCCCAGTGCATGGGCCAGGTCTGACGTGCAGGTGGCCCAGTTCATGTTCTTGGGACTTCTGAACATGTACTAGTACTAGGTGCTTTGTTGGGCCGTTCCAACGTCTCGGAACGTCGACTCCCATCCGTGGTTCAAGTTGTGGCTGATTTCATAGAGGACAACGAAAGGCATGCAATTTCAGAGCGTCAAACAGAAAACCCTTACACTAAGTACGTCTTTGGCCGGACTCCAACAAACCAATGAAGACCGCATTGTTCGTGCACATACAGTGACAACTTTGGCTTCAAGTTGGCATTTTTTTGTATTTATCAGGATTTCGACTCTTCAACCCAGGGGTACCTACTATGATAGCGTACCTCTTTTCCTTTTTTTTTAAGAGCAACACATGCCCCATCTAATATTCTGGAGGGCGTCAGTCCGATTGTTATCACCGGCGAGCAGATTTGAGCAAGTCACAGAGTACCAGACGAAACAGGGGAAGAGGGGTATCGGGGCTGAACTAGGCCAGCCCCGCTGCGGCAGGGCTGTGGCATTTTCACGTTTGAGCGTAACGGTTGTAGCATGCAAAAGGAAAGAAGGGCCAGCCCACACGTTACCCTAAGCTTGCCAAACATGTATTCTGAACTCTTTTCCAGCTTCTAGCAGTATGGATGCCTCAGCCATATCGGGGGATTGTCAGATTGGAGGGGGTGCCATATCCTGTTAATGACTCCACGAGGTTGACACGTCCTTGGCAGCGCTAGAATGGGCTGCATTGTACATATTAATTAATATATTATTTATTATTTAATACATCGGCGCTGGTGATTGTATGCGTATAGGTACACCTTTTGGCCGACTGTTTGGTTACCAGCCTTTTGTCTATTCTTTCCCGCTGCAGACCACTGGTCTGTTGCTGAACTGGTAGGACTGCCGTCCAGGTGACCACCCAGCCTTCAGGATATGTACCCAGTATTTTTGTGCTTTGGTCCATTCATTTGTCCCAACGTTGTTCCAGGTTCAGTCTGTTGCTTGTAGACTTGTGTTTCTGCATAATGCGCATTCAACCAGATGTCAAGGCCCTTCAGCCATCTCCATCCTCCACCTCCTGTGTGCTTCCTTCTGTTGCACAAGTGCAACACATGTCTTCCACATCTCCTATGTGCTTCCTCCTGTTGAGCATGTTCTCAACAGATGTTTTCTGCCTTGTTGGTAGGGATGTTAAAAAAAAAAAAAAAAAAAAAAAAAAAAAAAAAAAAAAAAAAAAAAAACAAGGAAGCCCCTTGATCAAACACTTGCTTCAGTGCATCGTACATTGCATTGCTAAAAAAAAAACAAAAAAAAACAAGGTATCCATTGCTAGAACTCTGCCTTGCCTGTATTCCACAGTGGGGGCACAATGGAGTGAGTACCGGCTGCAATTGAGACTCGAGAGGCATGTCACTATTATGCGTGGCCGTGTTAGATCTGCTTAGTTTGGAGGGCTGTGTCATCATGATGCAGGGTCTGCAGGGCTGCCTTTCAATCTTTTGGCCTGGCCACAACCGGTTCCATTGATTTTGGGAGCGGAATACTTTAGGTTCAACAGAATAGGGTTCCCCCTAGTGGTGGTTTATGTGGCCTGCCTGCTACAGCTCAGGAAGCCCTTGGTGACAAGAGTGCACTTCCAGCTTTCGTCCGAGAGTGCAATCCAGCTTCCGGGCGTTTCTCACAGACCTATCACCTACTTTCTCTCTCTCCTTAGATTGCCTGGTGCTGCTTACTGAGCCTTCAAGTTATCTTGTTAAACTGCTAGTACACTGCCCCAGCCTTGCAGAACGTTTTTGTCCCCACACGCAAAGCTCAGAGGGGCTGCACAGCGTGGGGCACCGTTGAGAAAAACAATCGGCGGCGTCCGAAGTGGTGCGGGTTTCGTGCTGACACCTGTGGGCCGATGTGTGGCGTACTGGGGCTTTAACCCAGTAGGACTTTTCCCTTGCCGAACTCCTCTGCGCCTTATCTTGTTAAACCAGTAGGACGTTTCCGACACGGCCATAAACGTACACACCAGTATGTTTCCCAGCCAAAGAATAAAATGTGCGGCTTGCATGTTGGCGCAGATTTCAGGGCTCGGCCTCCAGAGCAAAATGGCTGGCGGCACCAGGCAAAAGAAGGCCTGCGCCGATTCTTCTTTTTTTGCGCGCAGGCGTTTCCAGCCACTGGCAGTGGCACGGAGAAAAGTGCCTTGGAAGTACGGGTGGTTTAAACTCTTTTTTTAATAGAGAAAACAGTTCCAGTGCCCAAGGGTTTGTGCGTTACAGCCAGCTTGGGGAAAAAAGAGCTGGGAAAGATACTGGTGGTTAACCTTATTTATTTATTTCCCAATGGGCTCATCTTGACCCACATCCATCTCCCCTTAGGATCAGAGAACCAATCAATAAGTCTTTATTAATTAGTATGGCACTCCGCGTTCGGACTCTTCTGCTGGCGCTCAGAACTGGGGGCCACTCCATCAATGTTGGGCTTCGCTTATTTTTTCAAATTATTTTTTGTCTCTTGAAGGCAGATTATGTGCACCTCTTGGGTATGAAGCCGGGCGGCTAGCCTTGCTTTTTTGTTTCTGTGAGACGTGTTCCCTAAACCACGAATATTCCATGTAGCTATCTTCATGGGACCTGCCACCCTGAGCTTGGATGCGGAGCGGAGCAACCTGATCGGTAACGTGAGCACACATGAGGCGCGTCCGAAATCGGATCAGCAGACCGATTGTCTTTTTCTTTTTTTTTTTCACACGCACACACGCATGCCCCATCTGTTCTGGGGGGCGCCAGTCCAGTTGCTCTACCCCGGCAAGTAAATGTTTGGACGAAACAATAGTGTGAGACAGACAAAAGGGAGGAGATAGAAAAGACAGATGGCAAGGCCACTACCGCTGGGCCCTAGACACCTCTGGCAGCGGGGCGCGTACTTGGAGAGGACAGGCCCCCTGTGCGGGCCTTTCTAAGAAAGCCCCATGCTGACCGAAAAATTCCCTACGGTACCTAGTCATGCAGTATGGGACTCTCTAGGGAGGATGCTGTCTGCCTGCCCTTCAAAGTCCGTGCTCTAGGGCCCATTAACATCCTAAGCTTACTTCAGTCGTACTCTTCACCACCCCCACTTACTTCCCTCCTTTCTTACCTTCCTAGCCTGCTCCCATAGTACTCCATTCTCACACTTTCACATTGTACTATTCCCTCTACCTCTTTGTCTCTAGCTTACTTCTTATTCTTATCCCTCTTGTCATCCCCTGGTTCCTCTCTGCACATATGGCTCTGTTTCCTTTCTACGCTAAAAGACCGTTCTTCCGGTTGCTTCCTTCTAACACCTACCAACTCCCTTTTCCTATGTCGACCACACACGGCCTCTCAACAAAAATATCCCAGTTATTTCTTAGGGGTAACTAGGGCGCAGTCACAAAAGCAGTTTGTAAATGCATTTCGAACTGCCTCTTTGGAGTCCAGTACCATCCCAAGTTTCAACTGCAGTTGAAACTCTTGACATGCACAAAAGTCGCAAGGCCGAGTTTGCAACTGCAGTCCAGTCCGGCATGTGGCGTTGTTGTTGTTTTTTTTTTTTTTTTTTTTTTTTTTTTTTTTCCCGGCCATGGGCAAGACATCTGCGGCCGTTGCCCAGCCACGCGACGAGCATTGTGGCCGAGGCATCGCGGCCATGCTCGCCAGGATACAATAGCTAGAAAATTAAGACTTGAGATAGACAAAAATGCCGCGATGACTATGGTATCAACAAACAACCTTTGTCAGTCTGAGTAAGGAGTTTGTCATAGGACAAAGGTTGTGGTGGCTGGAGTAGAAGCGACTGTGCCTCAACAGAAAAATTCCCACGAGAAATGAAAGTTAAAAAAACATTCCATAAAAAAAAAAATCTTCATATTTATAAATATCATTCCAATGTCCATCCAATTCTAAAATTTTCAGTTTTCTTTCATAAGTTCCCGTCTAAATATGAGTTTTCCCTTCCAACTACATCTATTTGTTCAAGATGGAATGAAAGTCTGAACGAGTTTATGAAATATTTTTATTAAATTTTTATTTTACTACAACAAATATCTTATAATTTAGATTGGATTAGCCAATTTATGATTAAAAATCCTTACTTAGAATGACAGTCCAATTAAAATATTTCATGAACTCATTCAAACTTTCATTCCATCTCTAGCATGTAGTCCAAATAAAAAGGGATACTTTATTATTGTCTTGGAATGAAAGTTTGTAAGTAAGATGAAAATTTTTCAAATCGGAATGACATTTTTAAAGATGGAATGAAAATTTAAAATTTAAATTGTAATTTTACTATAGAATTATTATTTAATTCTGAAATTTTTTTTCCGTTGTAGTATTTGTGGTGGAGCACTGCTCCTCTAAGCTGATACTTGGGAGGATATGGCTTACTCATATAAATGTCACTACCAAGAATCGTAGGGATGACAATCAATTACTCACTTCCGATGATCCTAGTGGTAGCAAGTTGACCCTTAAGACCGTGGTGGAGTCTGACACACGTTATAGAGTTTTTCTACCATCCAAGAAAAAAAATATAAATTGAAATCACGCTTGAAAGTTGAACTTTCGGTTTTAATTAATGTCCAATTTTTTTTGCATATTATGACTTTCAATTTCAATTCGATGTTTTAGTGTTTGTTCATCCATCAATAATTATTTTTCTCGCTTAAAAGAAAAACATAATATTTTAATTTTTAAAACACGATTTCATTTATTTGTAAGGATGGTTGAAACTTTTTTTTTTTTTTTTCGAGTCACTTTGTCCGCCTATGGAAAATGATAGTTATAGTGCATATACTGTCCATGGTAATGGGTATACCAATTAACGACATTCTGACCATTCCGGAAGGGTGGGCGAGGTTTGTCCTAGAATAATGACGGGTTGTTTATCTAAGGTAACGTTTCGGGAACCGGGTCCCCCTTGCACGTGTCACGGAACCTGGCCTGGTAGACATCATGATCTTGCTCTACAACCGTCTGGGCTATGCCAGATATCTTAAGTTGCTAGTAAGCTTAGTGCCTCTTCAATTGCTTTGTAAGCCTTGCATAGGCTCGAAAAAACAAAAAAAGACCAAAGTAAAACAAAGTTCATTATGACCAATCTAGTAAGCAAGTTGTTTTTTATGTGATGAGTGCTCAACTCTAGGTGGGTGTCGTAATAAGGGTGCTTGACTATAGAAACTAGGCAAGACTCTAAAAAATGAGGAAGGTGGATTGGGTTGCAAAAGCAACGTTAGTAGCGACATATGCCTGATATATTTTCACTTTTTCGTGCTTTCGCACGACCCTACCTGCGCGATTATGACTACTCATGGTGATGTCAACCTCAACCTGGCAATAAGGAGAGTCATCCTTCTTTCTAATGCATTATCCTATCATACATTTTTATTTTTCTTTTGCTCTCTATCCTCCTCCCTTCACACCTCTTTTTGCTCTATTGTCTCTCGGTCTGTCTTCTCTTACTTCATGCACTCTTTTTGCTCATTATTCTTCTCCGAGTCCACACACCATTGCATGTGTGTGAAAAAAAAAAAAAAAAAAACGAGAGAGGTGGTTGCAACCATGCGTTATTTTATTTGTTGTTTTCTTCTTGTTATTGTTCGGCGTCTTCGTCTTTTTGTTCTTCGTTTTGTAGAGCATACACACACATACACGCACATACAGAGAGAGAGAGAGAAAGAGAGAGAGAGAGATGGTTGCAACCATGCGTTCTTTGCTTCATTGTTTTTAGCGCATTTTATCTGAGCACAATGCATGTCGCGGCTCTTCGTTACTTTGTTCTTTTAAGCACACACGGATGTATATGTCTCTGCACACAAACACACACACATACACGGGGAGAGAGAGAGAGAGGTGGTTGCAACCATCATGTATTCTTTTATACGTTGTTTTCTTTGTTATTGTTCAATGCCTTCTTCTTGTTGTTCTTCATTTTCGGATGCAAAGCCACACATGGGGGCACACAGACACACCCACCCACCCACCTACCCACACATACACACATACACAGAGATAGATAAATAGATAGATACAT